TGGAAACCTCACTTAACTTACCTATTTGGCTATTTAGAAAGCATATTGATTTTGGAAAATGTGGCATGATTTTCATCAGCTTATTCAGATAGTGATTCTAATTTTCTGTTGCTGTTCCAGATGGTATCTCCTTACTGGAACAAATTAACACAATCTGTAGCATCCACTATACAATTCTTGCTTTTTGTCTATTCAATATGCAGAGAAAAGCAGAAACAGTTTTCTTTTACCTTACAGGGAGACCAAAAGATTGTCCTTGTCTTGTCTCAGTGCCATGTTAACTCTTTAGACTCATGACACGTGTAGTCTGCAGGGAACCTGATTTTCTCCCTGTTTCACAGGACATCACGTATTTTGTATTGATGCCAGCACATTGAGAGGGCTAGGGGAGCAGGAGTAGCAGGTGTCCTACTGTCTTGGTGTGCAGTGCCAGAGGGAGGCAGATAATTGCACAAAAATACAGGAGCCTCCAACTCGATTTTCTTTCTTTTTTAAACAGCTTTATTCAGGTATGATTCACATACCAAGTAATTCACCCTTTTAAAGTGTACAATTTAAGAGTTTTAATATATTCACAAACTTGTACAATCATCACCACAGTTAATTTTAAAACATTTTTATCACCTCAAAAAGAAACCCATAACTTATTCCCCACCTCTCCTCTTGCCCTAAGCAATCATTAATCCATTTTCTGACTCTACAGATTTCTCTATTATGGACTTTCATATGAATGGAATCATACAGTGGGTGGGTTCCATTTGCCTTAAAGGGATCTGCTATTAAGGGATCTGCCAAGATATTCCCTTCAAAGTGAAAGACACGCTGCGCATTTTACATGCCTTACTACCACTTTAAAAAAAAAAAAAAAGGCGCAAGTTTGGTGGGCCTATTTGAATATTGGAGAAATGCATGTCATATTTGGGAGACAGGCTCTGAATAATTCACCTTATCACTCAAAAAACTGCCAAATTTGAGAGGGACCCAGATCAAGGGAAGGCTCTTGCTTGACTCAGGCCACAGTGTAATTTATTCTACCACTTAGTTCTTATGATTTAGCAGTTACAATGGTATTCAAAGTATCTGTGGCAGATTGGATTGCCTGTGGAAATCACTGTTAGGAAAATCACAGCAGAGACACCTAGAGTTTTAGAGTAAAGCTATGCCTTCTTTGACAAATAACTTTTTGTTAATGGGTCTTGGTCGAGTTTAAATCATGTGCCTACCATGACTGAGCTGCTCATTATCATGAACTTGGATAAGTTGGCTATCCAATTCACCAAGAAGAAAAATTAGGTATGACCAGCAGCTCTTTATTATCAAGTGGAAGTGGTATATACGTAGGGAAAAAATATAATTTAACATCCAATCCAGGACACTTTTGAGAGTAAAAGAGACACTGTTAACAATTATACTGGGATAACTGGAATAAACTAGTACTTTCTCAGGCAAACAAAGAACACTGTATATTTGAACATGATGTGAAGTAAATCCCATTAGTATGTGGCTTACATTTTTAGCATGTATTCTCGCACTTGGCTGTCACTTCTCTATCATCCTGGCCAGTGATCTTTGTTCCTTATGGTTTTTGACTGAAGAGAACAAAAAATTAAAGGTAGATTCATTAATACTATGCTGGCACCAGCTGAAAGTGTATTGTTGCAACATTTTAGCCTCACTTTGAGGTGGCTCTGAGGTCTTGCAGGAAGAAAAATCCTCTAAGTGTGTAACAGGCTGACTAGTATGCCTCACGTTCATTCTGTCCAGGAGAGATGCTTGAGGTATGCATTTACAATGCTTCATGGGAGGTCCTAATTATTTGGCTAGATAAGCCAGGGGCTTTGAATGGATAAAACGGAAGTGTTTGTGAAAAGAAGATCTGGGAGAAAATTATGTGGATGATTCTTTCAGAATAGATAGTGTGAGAATATCCGAATATCAAGAAAAGCCCCCCATTAATGAGGACACTCTTGATAATCAGGTATGCATGACGACCATTTGTCCACAGCCTTTTCCCAGATGCACCCGTGCTTGCTCAATGAGCTATTAAATAAAGTGGTCATGGTGGCAAAGTCATGAGCTCAGAAGCTCCTAAAGCTTCTTTTACTAACATCACTATCGAGTGGTCAATTTTCTAGTAGCAGCCAACAATCTTGTACTCACGGAAGCTGATTGCTAAATATTTAGGAATTTTGTGAGTCAGTTGTTAAACTATTGGTTCTTCAAATAAGCTATGTTGATACTATTTATACCATGAACACTGGCAAATGCCACCAATCAGGTCTTTTTAAATTTTTTTCTCCATTTTGAAGGCCGGGTTACCAGCATACCACTGTTAAGCTAGGGTGACCAGCCAGCTAACTAGAGTCTGGGGATTTAACTGGACCCTTTGATCGTAGACCAAAAAAAAAAAAAAAAAAAACAACCAACCAACCCTGTTGCCCTTGAGTCGGTTACAACTCATAGCAACTCTGTAGGACAGAGTAGAACTGTCTCAAAAGGTTTCCAAGGAGCAGCTGGTGGGTATAAACTGCTGACCTTTTGGTTAGCAGCTGTAGCTCTTAACCACTGCCACAGAGTGGGCAGTTAACAGTTCTATCAGTTCTATTGGAATTTATTCTGAATTTGGGTTTGTCTTTCCTGCACATCATGCTTCTGCCAACAATTTCTGTGACGATCAATATTTTATTCACTAACATATTATCCCACACAGCATTGCTTCTGATCATGGAATTCATTTTGCAGTGGTATTCAGTAGTCTTATTATATATCCTATAACTCAGAAACAGTTTGCTTATGAAAGACTCAAGATGATGTGAACTTTAGAGATAACACCTAGCAAGTCTGGGTGCTATCCTACAGAATATGGTGTATGTTCTGGAAAAGTAACCAGTTTATGTTGTTCTTTCCCCTGCAGCCAAATACATAGGTCAGGAAAACAAGATGTTGAAGAAGAAGTAGCATTTCTCACAATTATATCTAAAATGGCTCACTTCAAAATTTTGCTTCTTGTCTTTAGGACTTTTAGTTTTGTTTGTTGTAGTAGCTATCTGTTGCTATGTAACAAATGAAGCCAACACTTAGTGGCTTAAAAGAAGAAACATTTATTATTCACTAAGTTTCACAAATTTAGGAGTGGCATATATAGGTGGTTCTTGCTCAGGCTTTCTCGTGGGGTTGCAGTCAAGCTGTTGACCAGGGCTGTAGTCAACTGAAGGCTCAACCAGAGGAGGCTCAGCTTCCAAGCTGACTCACATGGTTGTTGGCAGACATCAGGTCCTTGCTGTTGCGTAGAAACCTCAGTTCCTCATTACCTGGGCCTCTCTGTAGGCAGCCCAGTTTCCTCATGACATGGCATCTGGCTTCCCTCAGAGTGGAGGATTCAAGAAAGAGAGATCCTAAGGCAGAACTCACAGTTTTTTATAACCTAATCTCAGAAGTAAGCTGCCATAGTTCTGCCATATTCTATTGTCATATGGACCAACCTGGGATAATGTGGGAGGGGGCCACACAAGGATGTTAATATCAAGAAGCAGGGATTATTGGGAGCTATCTTGTAGGCTGAATACCTCACTTGGTTATACGTCTTGATACTTAAAGGAAGAAGGCTTTAATCATGGTATACAAAAAGGGTGAAAGCTGAGACTGCCAATTGGCCATTTAGTGCTTCACAAGTGACTAGATTAGTAGACAAAAGAGGAGTTATTGTATTGACTAGGGTAAATAATCCTGATTACTAAGAGGAAATACTGTTGTTACACAGTTGGGGTTAGAGAAAAGTTTAATTCAAATCCACTGGATCCCTGGAGTGCCTTCTAGCTCTGTCACATCACATGGTAAAAGTTCATTGAAAAGTAGAGCAAAATCACCAAAGTCTTAAACTCTATGGATATAAAACTTTGATCCCCACATCAGATGAAAAGAAATCCAACTACCTGAGGTTCTGGCTGAGAGCAAAGAAAAATTACATTGTAAATAGCAATATAGCCTCATGACTAATATAGTGCTACTTTTGTCCTTGCTATTAATCCATTGCCATCAAGTCAATTTAGACTCCTAGAGACCCTGTAGGACAGAGTAGAAATCCCCTATTGGGTTTCCAAGGCTGTAATCCTTACAAAAGCTGACTGCCACATCTTTCTCTAGCAGAGCAGCTGATGGGTTCCAATTGCTACCTTTTGGTTAGCAGCCCAGAACTTAACTGCTGCACCACCAGGGCTTCTTCCTTGCTATTATTATGAATATATTTATATGTTTAACTAATTTAACTCTAATTCTCTCTGTGGTTCCCTTATTAGTTTTTATAGGGTTCATTACTAGTGATGATTGATTTCTCAACTTCACCCATTTGTTACAGACTATTGGGTGTGGATTTGGAGATGGATGGTGTAGCCAATGACTTTGTGGAGTGTCCCCCTTTCAGAGAGACAGTGAATGCATTTCATTTTAAAAAAGAATAGTCATATTACGTTATAAATAAACATATGTTTTTGTGGTTGTCACTGCTTGGAATGTTAGGCATGGGAGAATGTATTATATTGATGATAAGCAGAGATGATAGTGAATATTTATCTTATTTGTGGTCTTTCTTTTGTTGTTGTTATCTCCCAGTGAGTTGACCCCCAACCCATGATGACCCCATGCACAACAGAACAAAATGCTTCCCAGTCCTGTACCATTCCCATGATTGCTGTGGATCAGACAGTTGTGATCCATGGGGTTTTCATTGGCTGATTCTCAAAAGTAGATCTCCAAGCGTTTCTCCTTAGTCAGTTTTAGTCTGGAAGCTCTACTGAAACCTGTTCAGTATTATAGCAGCATGCAAGCCACCACTGACAGATGGGTAGTGGCTGTGCATGAGGTGCATTGGCTGGGAATAGAACCTGGGTCTCCTGCATGGAAGGTGAAAATTCTACCTCTGAACCATAAATACCTCTATAGTCTTCCTAGCACCTCTGACTACCCCTCCTAAAATCTCTCACCTTATGCTATATCATTTTCAGGTAGAAGACAGAAGACGCCTTCCTAATTTCCACTGAAGCTAGAATGCAAGTTGGAGAGAACCCATTGGAGACTCAGTTCAGAAGAGAGCGACATGAGGAGGTTACACCATAGAGACTCATTTCCTGTGAGGGTGGGGAGACAAGGAGCTTTCAGAGGTCACAGAAGCAAGACATTTTAGGAGTATGGTCCCTGGGTGGGCAGTGCAGACTCTAGGGCTATGGTGGTGGCAATGGGACCTTTACTGGAGCATTCTATTTCAGTGTAATCAGAATATTCTTCTTGGTAAGACGGATATCTCCAGCCTTAGTGAGATTTAATGAGCTACTTACATCCTTTAACATGTTCTTTTTATGCATAAATTGGATGGAATGGGCTCTGTTGTTTCCAGCTAGAAAAATTGTTGTTGATACATGGATATTTGAGGTAACCAAAGTGGGGAAGATGGAGACTAGTCTGCTCAGCCATTATAGGATAAATTACTATTTTTTTAAACAACCTAGTCAGTGTTAAAATGATTGAGCAATATCACCACAGTCTTAATTAATTCAATCAGAATTGTTTTTTCCTCAGCAAGAAGGTATAACAGTCTGCTCCAGTTTAAGAAAATCTCATACACAAAGTCTAAATTTACATAACAGATATATTAAAAGACCTTTTTTCAATTTATCAAAGGATTAACTATGTAAAAGGATTTACTATATGTTTTACTTAACTAGCGAATTCCTCAGTTATTTACTACATTGTAACTTATTTTAATACTCCATCTTTAAAGACCTTTCCAAGACCATATTTGCTACATAAATAGAGGTTTGCTTTTATTTAAGTATGAAAATTTACATGCTGTGGGAAGTTGTGAAATTACTAGTCCCTGCAGGCCAACAAAGGATTCCAACTTGCACTTTCAAAATTGGAATGCTTTTTCTATATCAACATTATGAAGAAAATATGCTATTGAGAAATAAGTTTATTATGTAGGGTTGTTAAATGAAGACTATAAAATACATATCTAACTAAAAAATTCAACACTACAGAAGAGTATGCCATCCAGTTCATGAATGTTTTTTGTGTTAAGTTAGATAGCTATTGATTTTGTAGAGTGACCTTAATCCACTTTGTAGCTATTATTTTCGGTTGTGAATGGAAAATAAATTTTTTTAGGGTCTGAAGATACTATACAGCTGGGTTTTGGCAACAATAGTGCAAAGACAATGCCTGCATTGTGTGTGTGTGTGTGTGCACACGCGCTCTTGTATGCTTACATACATACTATACTGCACTACACTTACAGAAACCTCTAAATCCCTATTGGGTTCACAAGTTCAGAGCGGATGTGGAACACCTATTAGACATTTAAGAGCATCATAAAAAGACTATCTCTGGAGATTGTGTTTATGCTTGGAATGGATCTCCTCCCGGGAAAGTTGAAAGCCCATTAAAAGGATTTGATCTCAGCTTTTGTGTGTTGTTTCTTTTCCTATTAGAGAGCTGTTCTTACAGCTGTGATGCAGTCAGTTGTCTCTTCAATTACTGGGGATTAGATTTTATAACAACGACAGGAAAGCAACTCGGCCACTGATACTTAACATGACAATATAGATGCAGAGATTTCACAATTAAAAAAAAAAAAAAGATTTAGCTTATCCTGCTACCCAGGATAGCTGAAATTTATGTCTGAGCTACATCTTTTTAAAGCTGTCCAGAGAGATACTAGATTTCAGTTTATGTAATAAGCTGGCTATCTCAGTTCTGTCATCCAGGAAAAGCACTGGGTTCTTTTACAGCCCAGGACTTTTTTTTTTTTTCATAAATGAGAATCTCATGAAATATTGACTCATATATTTGTAGGCTACACTTTATAGAGATTTATCATATTTGAACAGCAACAGTAAATATCTTATTCAATATTTTTAAATTATTAGCATTCCCAATACTTCTTGAATCATCAAAATTCTGACCCTAAAATCCCCTTTTCTCAACTAATAATTTCTTAAACAGTTTTAATAAATTAGCTTCCTTAAAGTAACCAAAGGTCAGTGAAAAAGCTTTAAGGAAGAGTTGAAGCACACAAATATTGAGTTTCATTTGTGAGGAGAAATTAGAATTAAGGTTGTCAAACATTTTTAATTTGATTTTGGTGATAGCAAAAGCTGAGTGCCTATGAAGATCAGTGGTTTTTCCCTTTTGACTTAGTCAAAGAACAAGTTACTTCAACTGATTGATTACACACTTTCCTCAGTGGTAGCTACAGTCTGTAGATATAGATATGGCTACAGTCACTACCAAGGGAGTCCCTGGGTGGCACAAACGGTTAAGCATTTGACTACTGACTGAAAGTCTGGAAGTTTGATCTCACCCAAAAGCATCTTGGAAGAAAGGCCTGGCAATCTTCTGAAAGGTCACAGCCACTGAAAACCCCAGGAGTGGAGTTCTACTCTGTACACATGGGGTCACCATGAGTGGGAATTGGTGGATAGCAACTGTTTTTTTTTTTTTTTTTTTTTTTTACCATAACTACCACCTCAAATAATCCTAGCAGATTTATGTCATTTTTATCTTTCCTTCAGATGCTCCAAGATGTAACTCATTTCATATGCCCCCTAATGTTTCCATGAATAAAATGCCCTAGGTGTTCTCAATGGTACAGACTGCCTGTATATCTGCTTTGGACTCTATTCACAGACCTCTGGGTAATCTCCATGTGGACTTCTGCTTGAAGGAGAATGATGTCAAAATTTCCTCGGTTGAGGGTAAGGCTGAAAGCTACTTTATCCCTCAGGCTCTTGATCATGGCTTATTTCTGTTGGTGTTAGATCTACTGATATGATCACCCTCCCTACTCCCCCTGCTTTCTGTATGTCTGTCTATATTTCCAAATATCTGCCAAACACTGTCCATTTTACTTTATGTTTTTTTTTTTTTTGGATATGGCTCTTCCTTTTCATATACTCTTAGATTACTCCTCACTGATGTCTCAGTCTCATCATGAGCCCTTCAAATCATGTCACATCTGTGTTAAAAATCCGCAAAGATTGCTTTATCTACTGGATCAAGGGTAGACTTAACATTCACGTTCTCCATAACCTGATCTGTTAACTACTCTACTCTAGCTTTACTACTTGTACTTTCCCCAGAGACATTATGATATTTCATGCCCTTGGACCTTTGCTTGGCTTATTCTCTCTCCTTAAATTCTTCTATTTTACTTTTCTAGTTTCTATCCATCCCTTTAAGATATAGCTTAGGTAATATACTTTCCAGCATACCTCCTCTGGAGTCCCAGACTCCATTAAGCACCCCTCCTTTGGGCTCCCATTGAATCCCATATTTAGCCTTATCATCGCATTATATTGATATTATAATTTATATGTCTCTCTTGCCCTGTACCTCTTCCTCTTCTCTATTTCTGAACCTTGTCTGACTCAAGGTAGATGTTCAATAAATGTTTACCAAAGTGAATTAAACTTGTTTTATTTCTTTTCTGCCTCTGGTCTGTCCAGATGGCTTTCCTTGTGCTTGTGTGTTCCTCACCTTTGAATGTTCTATTTGTGATGACTGTCTTACTATTTCTCCTTTTACCTGCTCATCCCTCGGTGTGATGGCTTTGGTTCAATTAGGCATTCCTAGAGTCAGATGGAGAATACTGGAACAGTTTTGATTTTGGAATATTTTCTTTACTAGGAAATAGAAATCAAGAACTCCTTAAAGAGTTCCACCAGCTGCTTAATTGTCCATAACCTTGTCCTGTTAGCAGGGACAGATTACCCAATAAGCAAGGTACACATGGGGTTACTTGTGCTGACTTAGTAATCTGTAATACACAATTTCACCCATTTTTCACACACACACAAAACACTCATGTGAAATTGTGCACTACAGATTAGTAAGTAAACACAATTAAGCCTGTGTATACTTGGAACCCTGATGGCACAGTGGCTAACCACTTGGCTGCTAACCAAAAGATTGGCAGTTCGAATCCACCCAGTCACTCCTTGGAAACCCTATGGGACAGTTCTACTCTGTCCTACAGGGTCACTATGAGTCAGAATCGACTCATTGGCAACAGGTTTTTTTTTTTTTTTTAATACTTTGGTTACTGAAAGCCTGCACATACCTTGCTTACTGGGTAATCTGCCCCTGCCTATTAGGATCCTTCCAGACTGCCTGAGGCAATCTGTCTAGGTTGAAATCATATTTAGGGATGATTTACAGGAAGGCTTTTGAAATTAGGAAGCTTCTGGTTTTGACTTATAAGTCATTTCATATTGGCTTCAACTCATGTGAAAATAAAGACTTACCAATTGACGTAAAAAGTTCAGTTTCTAAATATTTAGAGTTCCCAGTGAAGTAAGAACCTGGTTTGAATGAAAGAGGATCTCTGATTTTGAAATAGTTTTTGTACATACCAAGCCCATTGCCAGTCATGCATAACTCCTTCTCAATCTGCAATTTAATGAGAAAAAATGTGTAAAAACTGCAAAATAAACTCATATTTTACACATTTAACTTTGTGAAGTTTTTCTCCTCCAACCACCTCTGTCTGAACTAATTTGCCTAAATGGTATTAGGCACTCAAAGACATTTGACCCAAGTCATAGGCCATTAGTTCAACGGGCCTCTACAGTGAGCTCATGAATTCTTCATGCATGTTGTGGTTTGTAAGTTCAAGTGATCTTTAAGGGAATGGCTGTCTTAGGCTGGGTTCTCTAGAGAAGCAAAACTAGTAAAGTGTATAGAACATATATATAGAGAGAGATTTATACCAAGGAAATAGCTCACATGATTGTAGATACTGGAACATCCCAAGTCCGTGGGTCAGGCTGGAGGCTTCTGCTGATTCACATTAACCACAGGGCCTGGGGAAGACAAGACTGGCAGGTCAGAGAGCAGGGCTATTGCTCACAGGCTACGAAGATCGACGAATCCCAAGATTGGCAAGCAAGACCACGGCTAAGCTGCTAGCTCAAGGCCCTAGAACCAGAGGTCAGACCAACAGGAGCCAGCTGCAGGATTCAGAGACAGCAAAAAGCCACGAGTCTTGCCAGAATGTCCACCTATATTTTATGCAGGCCACATACCCAAAGAAACTCCTTTCAGCTGATTGACCTCTCATAGCAGATCCATCATGGGGGTGATCACAACATTATACGACTACCAAACCACTGAGAATCATGGTCCAGCCAAGTTGACACACAATCTTAACCATCTCAACGGCTTTCTCAATTCCTAAAGTGATTAATGAGATAAAGGATGCAATATTGCACATTCAGAATGTAACATTCTAGGAGTACGATAATAATGCAAGTTTGTGAAATGGATTCATATCAGTGTTTTATGCTGGACAGTGACTTCTCTAAGGACACAGTTTACTTCACTAGAGAACTGTCTGTCCATAGGTTTGCAAGCCATTATGAAATATTTTGATTTCTGGAATCAAGACACTGATCCCAGGTGATTCGTCTTCTGAACTTATGTTGTCTTTGTTTCTCAATGGCTTTATTTCACAGCAGAAGTTGCCTGCTGTGAAAAGTCCTTTGTGGAATTTTGATTTGTAAGCAGATGCTTTTTTTTTTTTTTTTTTAAATATTTTCCTGAACAGGTAGAGCACTCCTAATCTCTGAGAACTTTAAAATTAATATCCAGTTTAACACGTGGAGGAGCCCTGGTGGCACAGTGGTTAAGAGCTCAGCTGCTAACCAAAAGGGCAGCAGTTCAAATCCAGTAGCTTCTCCTTTGAAACTCTATGGGGCAGTTCTACTCTGTCCTATAGGGTTGCTATGAGTTGGAATTGACTTGATGGCAAAAGACTTGGCATGCACATATTCTTCTTTCCTTCCTTGTACACTCAAAGAAATATCCCTTCTCTTGTATAAGGCCAGCATCTCCGATTTTAGCCTACCATCTAGTAAAGGACTTTATTTCCACAGGTATCCTCTTTCCTGAACTCTCTCTCTCTCTGTGTCTAATGAAACATTTCGATCAGCCTATAAACACACTGTTTCATATCACATCTTAGAAAAAACAAAAATCCAACAAACAAACAAAATCCTTGACACCATAGCATCTCTGGTTCTGGGACCCATGTATCTGTTACCTTTTACAGCAAAATTCTTCAAAATAGTTGTGGCTGTTTCCATGCACTGTCCTCTTACTCTCTTCTCAACCCAGTTGTCCACTTAGGGTAACTTAATTGCATTGTGGATCCTAATTAATAGCCTCCCTGTATCTATGCCCTTTGTCCTCTAACTTTCTAGTTTCCACACACTCTGGAGTGGACTTGGACTTATTCTTTTCAACAGAATGTGGGGGAAATGATGGTATGCCACTTTTCAACCAAGGTTTCAGAGGCCTCGTGACCTTCTGCCCTCTTTCTTGGAACTCTGCCACCGTTCTGAAAATAAGCCAGGGTTAATGTTTCCGATAGAACCCTGGTGGCGCAATGGTTAACCAAAAGGTCCACGGTTTGAACCCACAACAGCTTCGTGAGAGAGAAGACCTGGCAATCTGCTCCAGTAAAGATTACAGCCTAGGAAACTCTATGGGCAGTTCTACTGTGTCCTGTAGGGATGCTATGAGTCAGAATTGACTCCATGGCAAACAACAACAGCCTTTGGAAGGTCCAGAGACCCTGC